TGGAGAGAGTATTTATATATATATATATATATATATATATATATATATATATTATTTATATTTATATTTATTATAACTCCATTAATTTCTATTAATCTATAAAGTATTGTATGGCTTAGATAAGATAGTTTCAAATTTTCAAACGAACTCCACCATACACGATGTTAATTATTTTTTTTTTTAAATTAAAGTTATAATTACATTGTTTGTAAAGATTGACCAAAATTGGGTGAGTCTTGACTTAACCATATAATAATTTTCCCTATTAATCACTATTAAATTTCGATTCAAGTCGTCACTCAAAAACTCAGGAAACAAAACAATTTCAATCATCTTTTTTTAGTGAATTAGAAAGAAATATATATTTAAAAAAGTGTTGGTGTATAAATTGTTTTTATTTGAATAACACGACTCTAATTGTTAATGTGCATAAACATGTTAATGGTATTTTTATGTGTGTATCCGGCAAAAATTGAATGGATGAGATAGAGAGGGTGACATTGATATGTTTGGCATCACATGAGAGAAGGAAAATTAACAGACACTACTGTGATTTTACTCACATACGCATTCCTCCAAAAACAGAAATAATCTATTATTGGATCACTATATATTTTACTGTGTTTAAGGGAATTCACACACATTCCTAGTCCTATTCAGCTCTTCTAAATTTGCACACTTCTTTCAAATCTTTCATTCTTTCAAAATCTATGTATATGTTCCTCTCACTTGCTAACAAACACATAAATCAATCCATATAAAAGTTTTTTCAATTTAAATAGCCGTATCAATTTTGTAATTTAGGTATATATATAACTGTTTTTTTAAAAAATATTTGTTATTTTAATAATTAGGAAATACTTGAGACTTATTTAATACCAACTAATTCTCTTTTTTACTTATCAACTCATTTAGAAGAAAAATGTATCTTTCCACTCTATTGACAAGTCAAAGAGGTTTACCTCCTATTGTGTAATTTTCTCAAATCCCAAAATTATTGCATAATCGAAAGTTCCATTTTCTCATCTTAAAAAAATGTTGGAAATATATATATATATA